TGATCATGCCAAGTCTTTCAGAAAACATAACTCAGCATAGTTGCAATATAGACCACAGGTGAGCTTTGCGGGTGTTGAACAAACACAAACATGCTTGAGCAAGCATCTGCAACAGGGATTGGCTAAATTAAAAGAAATATCGATGTAATTTGGCCATAGCAAAGTGCTTTTACATGTTTTGGATACATTCATAACATCTCATTCTTTAATCCATATGTACCTTTTCCATATAGATCCTTTGTTTAAGGAGTAGTTTTCTTTACATGTTAAAAGTTGTGTTCATTAAGCATAAATCTTAAAATTTCATAAACAAGATATGTTTTGGGCATATTGAGGTTATTGAAAAAGGTATAATGGGAAATCATTTTATCACTATCTATTTTATAATATGAACCATTTTGATAATCTTGTATTTTAGCTTTTAAATTTTGATTTGGAACTTCCAGGATTCTATGCAAGCTTGAGAAGTTCTAAGTGTTCCTTTTTATTTCTTTAACTAAAATTATATGCATAAACTTGGAGAAAATTGATTTTTAATTTAAAAGTAGAATTTAAATAAAGGTAAATATGAAAAGTGACTGAATTTCTTTTATTTTAATGGGTGCAAAATTCTTCACACCAACTCAAATTTATAGAATAATGAATTTATACTGCATGATAGAGAAATTGAAAAAATGTTCCAGGGTTCATTTCAATATTAGCCGAAAATTGTTTTGTGAAATCACAAAACAATTTTCGGCTAATATTGAAAAAACGTAAATAAGTATAAATTAATTTTACTACTGCAATAAGTGAACATTTAGAAAGTTATCTGTTTTAATTCAATATAAATAAACATTTTTGTGTTTGTCAATCTAGAGAGACCCTGGATCTATGCCTGGTAAGTTGTTTTTGTTATTTTTAGTACTGCAGCATCTGTTTTACTAGTTGAGTGCAGATAAGGTGATGTTGCTACAGACATCTTTATAGACAAGATAGAAGTGTGAGCAGTTTTTTTAATTTTTTTAATGGGAAATTGGCAGTTGGCCATATACAGCATTGTATACTCTCTCCACATCCCCTGATATTGTGCATAAAAGAGCAGGAGTAGATGCTACTGGGTACAAGCGTCATTACAGAAGTTGCCAGAAAGAGTTTCAATTCAATACTGAACTGCATTTTGGACCCCAGCTCCAGATTTTATCTTCCAGGTTTACTCATGAAGCCTTTTTCATTGGATTTGGATACAAGGCAAGCAAAGTTTTGAAATTAGAGTTTTCCTTCTTCTTAGGCTAATGAGAACAATCTATCTAATCTAAATATCACCTTTCCTATTGCATTTTGAATATATTTAAGTGGGGTTTCTTTATTTATTGTTTAACAGAAAATTAATTTGACTTAGTCCCCAAGACACATTTTGAATATATCTGTGAAGTGATCATTCCTTATTGGTTAAAAGAAAACATCTTTAAATGTAACTACTAAATATTTAATAGTATCAAAATTCATTAACCACTAATAAAATTAATTGTACATTGTACTCTCATGAGAGAAAAAAATTAAATCACAATTTCCAAATAAATAATTCTGTGGCTTGAAAAAAATCATGTCAACTTTGAAAAAAAAAATATAATTCACCCAATTATCACCATTATCAGATAAACATTATTTTTTAAAATTTTTTATCTGGTAAGAAAAACAAAGATTATGATGCAAAAAAAAAAACATTAACATGAAATTTGAATTATCACAGCTACTGAACTATTAACTTTGAATTTATTTCAATCATAGATTGGTCTTGTTGAAAAGTAGACTGAATCCCAACTTATGAAACTACAATAAGAAAAGAACTCTAAAAAATTAAGAGGAAAGAAGCATTCATTTGAGAAGGGCTGAAATGTGCTGAAAGAAACAGACCAAATTATTAAAACAGCATACAAAAAAAACAAGGAATGAAATGGAAAGAGTGAATGTAATTATTCATGCCCACATTGACAAGGTTTTTGTATAAGAATTTTAGAATTCATTTATCTATAAATAATAATAACATGGAGTGAGTTTGGTAGGTTTTTTGGGTGGAGGGATGATAAATCTTTCCTTCTCATTATAAGATTTCATTCAAAGAATAAAAAATAAAGAAAAAACATTATTTTTTTTAATAACAATCTTTTGTGGTTCAACACCAAAAGTTTTTACAGAAAAGATAAAAAAAGATTAAAATTAAAAATAAATAAAATAAACTAAAACCAAAAAGACTTGATAGAAGTTGTTGATGGATATAAAAGGGGTGGATATATTTATTTTGTATGCATGTGCTTGTTTATGTTAATGTCTTTTTCTTACAGTGAAAGGAAATTGAAATATTTAGGATTTAAAATAAAGAAAATAAAACATGAATAAATAAAAAATAGAATCACATTTCCAAGTTAAAATGAAAAAAGTTTTTAAAATTTTTATTTTTGTGAAATCAACTGTTGAAAAATAATGGGCAACTTATGATTAATGAAGGCCACAATTCTTGTAAAGTTAGCACAGAAATCTACAAGGTTGACGACCGCAACAATGCTTGACAATGGTCACCTGGTGAGTATGAAGGAAACTAAATGTCTACATCCATTCAAACTCAAAATCACCATCTCTCTTACATGTCTCTCCTGCTTTTTCTCATAGTATTTTATTTAGTAACTTTCCATGTCTTTCATTTTTACATTTGACAAATACCTTTAAGAGTAAAGAGAAAAATGAACTATACATCTTCAGCCATATCACTCTGTTCAAGCTCTTGCAGACATAAAATAGATTTTCATTGAGTTATCCTCAGAGCACACCAAAACAAGAATACATAGCAAGAAATAATAATGCTTATTTCATGAAACCAAAAGCAGAATGTTGAGAAAAAAATTATTAAAAATGTTAGAATCTTTTCAGAATCTTATTTTCATTTCATTTGAAGAGATGGGGAGTAAGAACAACTTTCTTTGTCAACAATTTATAAAATCTCACACAATTTTTCATGATTAACTGACAATTTTATGGCATAGGATTACATATTGTAAAATGTATATTTAAAGCCTTAGAAAAAATAAATAAGTGAAAATTAGTTACTGTTAAAAATGATTAATATAGGAAGTCCTAATAACCAGAATCATAATAATTATGACCATTTCTCTAACTGAAATAATGGGAAGATTTACTGATTTTAACTCTTATATAAACCCAGTTTAGTTTTCACAAAAGAAAGGAAAAGATTTGTTGGAAGCATACCAATGACTTTGTCATAATAGAATTCTCTTTCAATTAATTTTTATAACAAACAAGTTATTTTACACTCAAAACTTATCCATACTGCAATTTGATACTTTTGCATTTTGTATGAATCAAGGAATCTTTAGTTACCTTTTAAAAGGAAATTGTGTTCAAAAACAGACCTGATAAAATTTTTAGTTGAGGTTCTTGTTTTCTGACAGATGGCAATGACAAATACCAAAAATTTCATAAACACATGAAGATATAGCCATTGGCTAGTCATTTTGACTATTTAAATGCACTGATTACCGTGGAGGCAATTTATCATCTCCAAATGTGAACAATCATAAATCAATAAAAGAAAAAATGTCTTCATCATATGGATTCATATCATCAAGGCTTGCAAGAGAATCAGTTTTGAATGTTATAGCTAGCATGGATTTCACAAGTATGTAAATGTACTCCAGAGGCCAATCATGTACTCCACAAAATTTGATGAAGATGAGCATTTCTTACCAGAAGAGGCTCTGCTTTCCAAATAATTTTAATTAAATGTTTTTTTTTTGTTAATGATTCCTGCCTAGGCCACCCTTTCAAAAAGAAGAAAAAGACTGATCTGAGAGGGAGAAAGAATAAGCTAATGCCAAGTGGCACTAAAATGTTGTGTTAAAGCTTTTCAAGGATGAGAGAAAACAAAGCAACAAAAGAAATTAGTTAATAATATAATTATTTAATAATTATAATTTTAAACAATGAATTCTAATTATCTTGGTAATAATTAAAATTATTGTTCTAGTTGAGACAGATTTATAAGGAAATTGTTGGGTAGGGTGAGGGGAGAGCATTTCCAAGCACTATGACTAAAACTGGATTTCCCCACCCCATGGAAGAAAAAAAATGATGTGTATTTTGAGAGACAAAAGTAATAACAATGTCTCATTTGAATCATCTTGAAATAATTAATACCAAGATGATTAGGAAAACGATTTTGTATAGGAAAAAATCTTGAAAAATTGAAACAAGGAAGATGAAGAACATTAAAAATTCATTCAAGAATAAAAATTATACTCTTTTTATGTTAAAAATCATTCATTTCTATTTTTGAACCTCTCTTTGTAATCTTTCAACTTTCAAGTAATGTTAGCATTTTAATTTCTCAGGATTTATAAGATTTCATTGTCTTTATTCATTACCCTATCACCTCCCTACACATTTTTTAACTTCATCAATTCATAAGTCTATATTTTTAAATTTTTGCAGGTCAAAATTTTCATAAAATTGGATTTTCAAAGCAACTTTGCCTTCACCATTTTATTTATCTTCTGCTTCTGTTGTATGGAAAAAAGAAAAAGAAGAAAAATGGCTCCCCTCTTGAAATAATGAAAGTTTTTTTTTCATTGAATTTGTTTTGGTTCTGCTCTGCAACAATGGCACCACCTGATTGCTTATCCAAAAATTTATGAAGATAAGAAAGATTTCTGAAACACACAATGAAATTAAAATTAAAACTTGTTTAGATAACTTTATCATTCGTAAAAGAAGAATGCAGTCAGTTGTGTCTGCATACTGTCCAATGTTTCAGAATTTAATATCAAATTCTTGAACTTCCTTTTATGCGGAAGCTATTTACAAAATGATGAGGATAATAACAAGTGGTGATGGCTTGATGCAGAACAGATTTCAATGAGGAGATCTTATACACAAAGGACTCGAGTAGCAAATGCAACAATTTAGCAGGAAATGAGAATATCACAGCCACCATAAATCAACAGAGATCAAGTTTTGGCACCATAGAATGGTTTGGGCCCTAATCGAACAGGTTGTGGCCTCACAATGCCTTCTACATGAGGCCGAGATGTATAGCTGCTGAAGTCCAGACTAAATCGGCTGCTCCCCTTATGTGCCAAATCAGAGTCTGATTTCAGTTCGCTTTGTCCACATACAGGAGACAGACTTTTAACCCTTGATCTCGGCACTTGGCGTGGACTGCTGGTTTGAGTTGATTCAGTTGATAGAGAAGTACATGACAAAGTCATTAAATTACTGTTGTTAATTGTGTATGTGGATGCACTGGTAGTATCTGCAGAAGATGCTGAGCAGGATATTTTTTTTTCTTCCCCACATACCTGCTTAGCTTCAAAATAGTTTCTCAAATCTTTAATGCTGCCCCTGCGCTTGTGTCCAGGGAGTTGCTCTTCTCCAATAATCTCCATTTCCAAAAATGAAAGTTTGCCCTCGGAATCACTTGTGTCACTTTTTGCAGACTGATCTACTGGTCGCACAGATTTGAAGTACTCAGCACTTGTGCTACGTTTTCGCCGTTCATCTTTTGCACGCTGAGAGGGTGGACTCTTGATGTCAGCATCACTTGCTGAAGATTCACTCCAGGTACGTGTGCGTGAACTGCCACTGTGGGGAGGTGGTTTGGTAGCAGCTGCTAAAGCAGTGGAAAGATCTGACTTCAGACTCTTGCCTTGCACATAATCGACGCCCATCTCCCATGTCTGCTTGCCGTCACGCTCATGAGATTCTGCTCTTTGCCATTTTTCAAGCGCGGCTGGCTTGCGCCCACTGGGTGTTGGACTCCGAGAATGAGTGCTGGGTGAGTCTTTACAATAACCACCCTGCTTTGTGTCTTTACGTTCCCGTGAACGTGATCGGTGGTGGGTATTTCGTAATATGTGAGATGGTGAAGATACAGGTTGTTTTGCAGCTTCTTTTTTCTCTTCTTCTTTTGAAGAATATCTTTGATATTTTGGACAGTTTGGAGAATTTTGGCTGGATGTAGATGATGTCAATGGACGAGCATAACCAGGCCTGTTTTTGAGTTCCTCATGTTCAAAAAATTCTTTTAAATTTTGCAGCTTCCTGGCTTTCGGGTGTCTGAGAGAGCCAGTGTCATATTGTTGAGTGCCATTGGGGTTTTTTCCAAAGCCTTCATAAGCATTATGGCGCTCTGCAGCCACCTGTAATATAGACTCATCTAATGACGATCGATTGTTGGTTGTGTCTTTGACACTCTGGCAGATGTTGGATGCACATTTCTGACCAGCCTTCGATTGCTTTTTGCTGTTCCGCAAATCCACTGCAGCATCATCAGTGAACACATTATCAGTCATTTCCATGTCTTGAACCACATCCATGTCTGATGATGTGGCTGCTACAGATGATGCCTTGCTGTTGGCTTTGGGGATATCTGAACTGCCAGATGACATGACCCAATCAAATGTGTCTTTCTCCTTCAGTGACTTTTCTTGATCTCCTGATTTTGGTTTGAGCTGAGTCAACAGACTGTCCAATGAACGAGCCTTCAAAGAATCATTTGTTCCTTCTGCTTGTGTCTGCAATTCTGATGACTGTCTAACCTTGGCCAAATTGTTTGCTTGCTTGCTGTTCTCATCAGTGGCCAAAGATGGCACTGACAATGAGGGGGCTTTTTCTCCAGATGACGGCTCTACCATATCCTTCTGAGCTGCTTCTCGGCGTTGGGCATCCTGTTTCATTTTTTCAATAAGCCGTCTTCTTGGTGAAACAGGCCTCTTCAGAGTCGGCCGAATTTGAATCAACACATCATCTTCAGGAGGAGATATCTGATACTGGTCACTGTTCAGCTGGGAAACAGGGAATGATTTTGACTTGGTACCTGTCCAGTTGTAGGATTTATTTTGATTGCCAGTTAAAACCTCACTGATGACTGGACTAGAATAATACTTTTTAGAGTCAGGTAATTTTTTTTCTTTATTTGCTGATGTAACTCCTTGCTTCTCAGGCATCAACTGTGGTTCTTTTGCCACAGATTCTGGAATTCTGCCAACAGCAGATTCCAGACAATCTGTAATAAACGAACGCTGCAGTTTGTCAATTCCATCTTTTTCACTTGAACTCTTGGTAGGGCTTTTTGGAACATTAGCTGACTTCTTGCTTGTGAGCTGAGAGTCAGACAGTTCACTTCTTGGTGGTGCTTTCTGTCGGGATTGTCCAAGAGCTGAGTCAGTCCGTGATTTTTTTAGTGAGGTTTGATTTTGGATGAGTTTTTCCCGACTTCTGGATTCACTCATAGAATCTGTTTGTTTCTTGTCACTGCAAACATCAGACTGGTCACTGACTGTTGATATTTCTGGACTGGCCAATGGTACTTTCTTGCTACAGTCTCCAACAGTCTGTTGAAGTCGTGCTTTCTCTTCTTCAGACAGGATTAGTTTCTCAGCATTAGATATCTCTTCTCTGGACATGTTCATAATATTGTCCAGGTCTGGAATGCAAGACTGCATAGGTCGAGCAGCACAGCTCTGAAGAGTCCCATAAAGTATCTGGTAATTTTTACTACTAAAAGGAGATGATGGGGATGAAATGAGGGTCTCACAGGAATCTCTTTCAGACTGTAGCATGGAATGATTTTGGTCTGGTGTCAGGCCCAATGTTAGGAATTCAGAATCAGAATGAGATGTACTAATGACAGCTGATGGGGAGAACACCATGGTAGAATCAAGAGATGGTGGAACCTCCATACTTTCCCATCGTCTTAATGATAATGGAGGTGGAGAAGAATTAGTCATCTGTGTTGAAAATGGGTACTGTTTCTGTGTTTGGGAAATGCTTTGGGTTTTGCAAGGCAAAAGACTACCTTCACTGCATGTTCTATTTTTGGAAGAATTTGAATCACTTGATGTCAGAAAGTTCAGTTCAGCAATGGGGTCAGTAATGGATGTGCCAGCAGGCAAAGAGCGGACCATCATATTATCTTCACCAGTATCAGCCAAAGAAAGTGATTTTTGTGGGATTCCGTCTAATGAACTTGAGCTGGAACTTTTATGCCCAAATGTATCACTTTTTCTTTTCCACACATTCTTGTTACTGTCATCCAAAATGTCTATGTCACTCAATGGCCAAAGGTTGGGACTTTTACAAACTGTACTTGGACTACTAACTGGTGTAGGTTCTTTGGAGCCAAATTGAGTAAAATCAATATCAAGAGGAGAAAGTTCATTGTGGTACTTGCAGACACTGGATGGTGATAGTTGATGAGATATATGAGGCTTTGATTGTCCGCCATTGCCTTCATCCTCAAGGGCTGAGTTAGTGCTTCGGCCACTAGTTTTCCGATTCCAATAATCAGAAGATTCTGACATCATATGCTGCACTTCAGCTGGAGCATAGAATTGCAGCATTTGAGTGAAATTATCCAAACTAGTGAAACTAGGTGGACTCTCCACTATAAACAAAGGATTAGCACTCTCAGGCTTGGGCTTGTCAATGATGTGATGGGAATAGCGTTTGGCTGGTTCCATTTTGGCCTTGTTTTCACGCCTCACGCAGTTATCACTCACTGATGAGCTGAGATGACTTGGTTGACATTCCTGACCTACAAGTGACTTTTTCATGGCTTCAATTTTTGTATTTGCATAATTACTGCTTTTTTCATTGAGAGAACTTCTGCCTTGCTTCAATTTAGAATTTTTTAAATCATATTCACCTTGTTTTGGTTCCTGATATGAGCTACGAAGATCTGAAGTGGATCGTCCTTTCTCTTGTGTCTCAAACATTTTTGTATTGCAGCTTGAAAAGGCCTTGTTGATTTCCTTGCAAATATTGAGTGTTTTTGAATCAGAATAATTCCCCGTAATGGTGCTCAGATCAAGATCCATACTATCATTGACAGAAATACTGTCAATGGACTGAGAGAGCTCACTGATGCTAACACCAGACATCAGGTCAGATTGACTGCCTAAGTTGACATTCTCTAGTGACTTGCCTATATCAGAGGGAACGCTTAAACATTTAGACATTTCTTCCTTTTGTAAATAACTGATTGGTGATATACTATCTTCTAGTTTGGCAATCTCCGAGAGTAAATCAGAGCGTAGCTGTGTTGTGTGCTCTGGAGAGGAGTCATTTGAAGCTGGAGTCAATCCAGGGTCTATTTCTTTATTCTTACAAACTTCAATTTTTTGAGTAGGAGTGAAAACAATGGCGGTAGGACTGTGGAGTGGAGACGTAAACTGCTTACTCAATTCAGGTTTACTAACTATGTTAGAGTTGGCAGCTTCTTCCTGCTCCTCCTTCATAGCACATGGACACAGTTTGGCCTTTTCAAGCACATTATTAGGGGCTGATATTTGACTCTCATCAATTTCAGCATAATCATGTACTCGAGAGTAGTAGGCCTGTCGGTGTTTGACGCCTGACATGTGGGGTTCACTTTTACCCAACTGACTCAGTTCATATGTTATCTCTTTCTCTAATGCAGAGGAACCTCGACGTGAAGCAAGTGAATCTTCAGATTTTGATATCAAGAAAGACATAGAAAGGTCAAGGGGTTCAACAAATTCTACAGATTTAACAAGTTTTCCTTTAAAGATGTTTAGCTCATCACTGCTACTGTTCTTTTTAGTACTGTTATCATCCTCATCACTTTCACAGTGACTCAGTCTCATTTGATTGTCAGATGATTCCTGTCGATTCTGCTGTTGTGGTGTTGATGGTGCTGAGGATGTCTTTCGGTGGGCAATGGCACGTCTAGTTGAATCACCACGGATAAAGGATTGACGTGTCTGACCATGAACATCATTCAGTTGTGGAGGAACCTCATTTTCATCAGAAGAGTCATCAGAAGACACAGAAGATTCTAGAAACAAAATAATAAATATTGATTAAAAGCAAGTGTTAATTGGAAAGAACTCATTCTCATGAAAAATCAAGTAAGCTTTTTAATAGTCAAGATGTTGAAACAGAAAACTTCAATATGAAAGCAAAAGCAATAAAAACCTTTGGCTTGTAAATGGAAGAGAATTTAGAAGTTTCCAAATATTTGTAAATCCACCATACCTAAAATCCCACTTTGGACAACAAGGCAGCCTAAAGTGCTCCTCAATCTAAATAAGAGCTCAAAACCAATTATTGAGAAAAATTTATGCTTTAAAGTAATTTTTAATGAGAAAAAGTTAAAATAATCTTATAAGTTCTGGCAGATAATTCACAGATAATTATTTTGGTTTGAATTCTACTGACATAAAACATGAGAGAACCTACTTATTATTTAATGTTCATTAAAAATAATTTTCAAGTAATCTATTCTTCCATTTGTGCTAATTTAGATTTCAATACAAATGTTGACAACATCATCTTGTTTCAAATCTTGCACATTCAAAAATAAATTTTTCTTTAAATTTTTACTGATAAACTAAAAGATTTTGCATACAATTGAGAAAAAGTTTTGAATTTTAATTAACAGTACAAAACAAAATTCCAATTCAAGGCTGAAGTAAAAGGAAATTTTACATGTTAATAAAAATTAAAAAGGCCAAACACAAAAGGAGCTGAAATTAATTTTTAGAATAATTTTCTATTTTAGTTTAAATATCAAATTTGTAAACAAAAATAAAAGCATTCAGTAAATCATTCAAAATGTTTAACATGATTGGCAACCATGTAAAATAAGAGAATCCTTAAGAGATTGTGAGCTGGGAAAAAGGACAGAATGTTAAATGTGAGAGTAAAAGAAAAGAGTAAAGAGGAAAAAACATATATATGAATTAAAATTAATGGCTGCTACAAAAAAATTAGAATCAAATAAGCAATATTGAGAGAATGTAGTTTTGAATCAAAGTGTAGTAATTAAACAGGGAATTGTATTTAGAATATCTAATATTGTGATTATTATTTCTTAATTAAACTGAAGTCTTAAAAATTAGAAACAGCTACCAAATAATGTGTAACTCATACTTTTACTGGATAATGGCACATGTGATACAACCAAGACTACAAGGTGCTGGAGTCCGTAAGTTTATCTGATTTACATTAATCTGAATAGCATGTTGCAGAGTTGTCCATAACTGAGTTCTGCAATATGTCCTATACATGTTCAGTGGGATGTAAATACAGTGAGCACAGGGATTAATGGAATACCTAGAACTCAGACATGTAATTAGTTCCTGGAACATGTCACCTATAATAGGGGTGGAGTTATGTCCTCATCACCGGTGTTACATTAACCCCATATTTGTACCCTCACCTCAGATTTTATAAGTATATTTTCAGTACCTTGTGTATTTGCGACGAAACATATGAATCTTAATAACTGCTTTATTTTTTGAATATGCAGATTGTGGGATATATTTTTTTTTATACCCAGATGAGTCAGGGCCAGTTCTTGGAAAAGAACCTTCCCTTCCTCACCGCATTTCCTACCTGGTCTCTGATGCGTAGGCCAAACAAACGCTGTTTGACAGATAGGTGCAAATGATATTAACCAGGTCCATAGTCGTTGGCCAAACAGACACAGTTTGACAGATAAGTGCGAATGACATTAACAGGGTCCGTGAATGACACATACCTTTTTTGGGGGCCAACACATGACTCAACATATAGCAGTTTTCATTTCGCACGTGTTGAGGTAACAACGACCTCACATAGTTGCTGGCTATCGGAGGAATCGGACGTCACCAAAACCAGTCTTAGCTGTTTGCCATTAGAAGAAGCAGTTGTCATCAAAACCAGACCTCGTTGTTTGATGCCAGAAGAATTAGATGCCACCAAAAACCAAAGGACTGACGACAGAATCTAGAACAACATCCTCAACCCAAGTCGGCTACACTCCCGTGATTTTTCTGTGTGTTCTCCTCGCCATCAACATGGATTGGACGTCGCCAGTCAAAAATTCATGTTAGAACATTGTCAATCCCATCCTTTGCTTTCAGAATTGTATGAATATCCTTTTGATCAAACTGTACCCCGATAATAGTCAATCAACGTCGATTCCAACCGTATGTAAGTTCCTGCATGCTTTTCCATATCTTATAATCTGCTATCTCTGTATTCATATGTATTTCGCCGCATTAGTATCTGTTTAATTGGTAACTTATCTCCCAATCCTTTGTATTATTTAGTTTTCTTTTTCTTACATTCACACATTGTGTATTCTATAAATAAAATCTTTGTATTATATATTCTCGTGACGTCTTCTGTTGTTTTGTGTCTGCGTATGGTTCATTTTCTTTCTGCGTTTACCGACGTCCGGATTGGAGAATTCCCCTCCCAACGTTCTTTTCTTTATTTTTATATCGAACCTTGGGATCTCTTACTTATTTTTTTTTTTATTTTCTCATTGCGTCCCGGCTATCGTAGTCCCAACGAACCCTGGGCGTAACACCAGGAAAACATAAACTGGAGTTAAATGGTCTTCAACAACGTCTGTGCATCACACTTGTCAAGAGAGACTTCAGTTTCACTAGTGGTCCTTGCAATTGCCACCCCATTACAGAGCTGCTTGTATAGTACCCTGCTTACAAATTAGATCCATAACTTCTCATGATCTCCACCACACAAAGATCTGACATGAAAGAACATACAATGTGACCTGCACCCAAGTTTTTCACTTATCGGCCAATCATTGCTGGTAAGTTCTCTAATTCTCTTGGAATCTTCTTGAAGGTACACAGGTTAAATAAATTAGGTGAGAAAAACAACCATGTTGCACTCCTCTTTGTATTTTAGTAGACTCAATTTTCTTTGTAGAGTAAGCCTTTGTAGCATTTCAAAAAGCTTTTCACATTTTTATTGCTTGTTCTTTCTGACAGCATTCTGACCATGAATATTTCTAGTTACAGTGTCTTCTACCAAACCACATTGTTCTTCTATTTACATATAACACCTTTTGCTGCAGTCTACACCCAGTGGTGTAACCACATTTAGTGGTCTAGTCCTTGGGGTCTTAGGATGACATTTTAACCACAGGAGCTAACTCTGTGCTGGTCAATGCTGACACTGGTCCAAGCTGGTTGTTGGCTGTTGGCCACTTTGATCCACACCAACTCTGCCCACATTGTAATTTTTGTCTCAGAACAGTGAAAGATCAAATGTCGTCCTAATGGCAGCACTGGTTCAAGCTGTGGTGGGTGCTACATGAAGGAAGAAAAATATCTTCACAACGAAAAAATAAAATGAAAGATTCATGGGGTTAATTTTCAATTAGTTTATATAGCACTTGGTACAACAAAAATTAACCCTTCCTACATCAATCAGTATAGTGACACTGTGCCTTGTCTAAACTTCTGGGGTTCAAAGTTTTGGAGTCAGGAAATCTGGTGGCAGCTGATGCGGATTTCAGAGGCACTCATTGTGGGTTCTCAGCCCAAAGTCTCCAAGCTCCTCAAGGTCATCTGCTTATATGTACTTTGAACCAAGAATTCTGGGGATTCAGTGATTCCCCGATTTTCATTAATTCCAATAAAGGTTTTCTTTGTTCCCTATTTCTTCTCTCTTAATCAACTTTCCAAATTTGATGAATTATCCACTTTCCTTGGGAGTAGTTGCAGGGATTGCTCCTCCCTTAACTCCAACCTGCTTCACTTCACATCTCACACTGCTACTCTGCACAGGCTGGGCTAAATTCTGCCACTTCCTCCTTCCATGTTGGTATTCTATCTCTGCCCACTTCTCAGGGCTGGCATAACTGTCTGTGACAAATCTAATTTTTAAAGTGCATAGGAGAAAGGGTGTGGTTTATTCTCCTCATTAATTTCAATTCTCTTACTCCTTTTTTGGACCCACCAGCAAAAACACAAACCAGATCACCTTCCAAGTGATAGATAAAAATTATTTCCTAATTTGTTTTTGTCAATGAAATATTTGTTTACCTAAATTCTCAACAAAGAGACTTCACTGTTTTCCATCCTTGGGCCAGTTGCTGTCTTAGTGAAAACATAAACCAGATCACCTATCTGTTATGACAGATTAATTTTCATACTCCTAACCCTCGCAGCAGGTTCATTCTCTGTTTTAATTTCTCAGTTCATTTTCACTAACAAAAATATAATTCCCATTTTCTTCTCTTTTTGCCAATGTCATGTGTTTTTCTAATTTCCTAAGAAAGAGATAAACCCTTTTCCTAATTTGATTTACCCACATGCCAGGTTTTTGATAGATAAAAAAAGTAAACTCTTGGTGCATTCAATTCGCTGGGAGGAGGCAACTCAGATGACCCTTTCTTCACTTCCATATTACCAGAGAAAATGTCTTCCATTCTCTCTATCTTCCAGTTTATACTTCATTTTGGGCTTAACCCTTTTTCTGCTTAGCCTCAGTGTTACATACAGTCCTATTCTAACCAAAACTATTCATGAGTCTCTTAATTTGTCATATAGTGTATGAAGACAATTGCTCACTGAAGCTTGAATTTGTTCACTTGCTTTTGTTGGAAGGAGGGGCATGACTCAGATCTTCATAGAGTAAATTTTTTTTCTTTACAATAGGCATTTGACACTTCTTCAACTTTACCCTTTCTATAAGCAAAAGACACGTTATTACATTTTTGTTTTAGCTAAAATTGTGAAAAACAAGCAAGCCCATGTAGCCTATAATAATGAACTACTTCACTTTCTTTCCTACAATATGATTGTATAACAGCCAATCATCAACAAGTGAGGCAGATTGTCATAACCAAACAAGAAAAGGTGTTGAGAAGAGTGAAAGCCCACTAAGTACTAAATGATTAGCAGAGGTACAAGGATTGAAGAAGTTTATGTATGTGTCATTTCATCATTAAGAGTTCTTAATCAAGCTTTCTGTTTAAAGACCAATTTCAGCAAATGAAGTTTACAAAAAAATCAGTAACCTGGTAATTCTAATAAAATTGTACAAATTTAACAGAACATTTCTTTAACTAGGTTATTCAGAAGCTCTTCTAGGATTTTAAAAATCAAAACATTTTTATTTAATAATATTGATTAAGTAGTAACAATTACTGAAGTTCTAAAACTGTACTTTATATTAATCTCAACGGTGAATTGTGCATTAAATGTGAGTAGATCCATTTATAATACTGCAAAACAATGATAATGATTAAGACATTTTATGTTGGAAATTTTGAGATGAGGAATTCTATATGTGAAGCTCCTTTAAAATTCAGAAAAGATCAGTTAGCCTTTAAATACATCATGCCCAGACAACCCAGCATACAACTGCACTTTTAATGGTAATTATAAAACTTTATTTAATATGAAAGAGAAAGCAATAAAAACCTTTGGCTCGCGAATGGAAGAGAAAGAAGTTTCCAAAATACCCATTACAAATATTCACAAATCCACCATACCTAAAATCCCACCTTGGACAACAAGGCAGCCCAAAATACTCCTCAGTCTAAAAAACAAAATACAACCCAATCACTTTTCAAGAGGAACTACAAAATATTAGACAACAACATGCAGAATGTGCACATCTATAGTGATGGTTCCAAAGACAGCTATAAAGTAGGATGTGAATTATTTACCAACCACCAGGAAAAAAGAAAACTCCATAGAGAAGAGGTTATTATAACATGACTATGAATAAGTCACACTAAAATTATGCATTCTTTCTTACTGAAACAAGGAGAACCACTTGCCAAATATGGTAAAACATTTTCTTATTGAATGCATTGATCTTGACTCCAAAAGACACAATTTCCTCAAGGTAATTAGCCTAAAAGAACTATTTGAAAATATTAAAACAAATAGAACTATAACATTCCTGAAATCAGTTGGGTTATATATGAAAATATAAAAAGCAAAAAGGAACAAAAATCAATGATTGTTGTCCATTTTCCATAAATATAAACCAAAATAAATAAGTTTTGGCAGAAAATGACTCTAAAGAATTTATATGCCATTAAAAATCCACTTAAAATTAAAAGTTCATAATTCTATCCTTTCTGACCAAAGAATTGCAGGTTTTCATAGAATCATAGAATGATTTTCATTGCTTGATTTGAATTCTTTTAGTGTTTGCTATTTCTTGCATAAATGTATTGATTTAATTAGCTATCAACCTGAACTTTCAAAAACTTTACAAACTGCATTTGAAACATTCAGTCATTCACAGTATCTTCTCCATAAATTGCACAATTTTTTTTTGTCATTTGGGTCACATTTTTAGTTTCCTTAAAATATAAAAGTATAATATACTGAAAAAGTTGCTTTTTATTCTTACTGTTAAGATGTCAACTTTAACAGTTTAAAAAATGCCTATTCATATGATGGCTGGTACAATACAATCAAGAGATCACTTAATTAAAACTAAACACTCAATGCCATCTCATTAGAATAAACTTTTTGAGTTATCCAATACTTTTAAAGAAATGAATTTGGCCTTCAATAAGGAAATTTTTTATTAATTTTAGAATATGTGTTTAGAGAATTATTTGACACTTATTGGTCATTATTTATAATCCAACTGTAATAAAGTAGCTTTAGTAACCTGTTTATTTTAAGTATATCAGGAAATGATTTAGATTCACTTAATTATAACATATGATTAAAATTATTAGAAGTAGCTTAAAAAATTCCAACAAACAATTGATGAGATGATATTTCTAATATAAATAGCAAAACATAGAGGCAATTTCATAACATGATTAAGTCACAAAATATAACTTATGGTCGAGGATTTGAGGAACAAATATAAATGTAACGTCTTTTAGTTACATTTTTTTTAATAAATCAAATTTTACAAATTAAAGAATACATTTTGGATTGGATTTTAAAATCCAAATTCAGATAATACTTGTAAGAATTTGGGGGATTTTATAATTTAAGATGACAATTCAAAAATTTATCTGCATTCTCTATTTGAGTTATGAACTATTGGAAACAATTAGAAAACTAATATGACTGTGTATAAAAGATATTTGACTTATTGGTAATATGATGGTAGTGATGCCTAGTTTCAGTGAATAGTTTGAGTATATTTATTGAGATACTCTATAAGAAAGATAGATAAGTAAAACAGTTAATGGTGTGTTAAAAAAGAAATAAGAAATAAAACTAATAAAAATAAATTAAAAATTCAGTAAACTTTAAAAAGTGAACTAAAATGCAACTTTAATGTAAGAATTAAAATCAAAAATTAAAAAAAAAGAATGAAACTTGAAAAAACTGAACATAAATTGAAGAAATAGAGTGAGGTTTTCACCAAAACACTAAAGTTGAAGATGCATCAGGAATTCAAATGTAAGATCTGCAATGACAGCATTTGTAGCAAATAAGGAATACTATTTTATTAATTACATGCATTTCAACTACAATGAATGACAAAATAGTAGAGGGTGAGAGTAATACCAAGTAAGACAAGACAAAGTTTATAACAAACATGTTGGTAAAGCATTTAAAAATAAAAAAAGAAAACCAACAACAAAATAACAGAAAGAAAACAAAAGAGAATAACCACTAATTGAACAGCCATTAAAATATTGGAATATAAAGTTTACAAATCCACAAACATATTAACAGTGATAAAGCATAAAGTAGCAAAAACAAAATGGATTAAGTTTTTATAATAAAAAATAACATATTAAAAAGTACATGCAGATTTTTCAAATTCAAAACTCTAATAACCTCAAGATATAAAATACTTGTTTTTACCATCTTCTCTCTAAAAGGACACAACAGTCTCATTTTATGTAAAAGCAAAGGCATTCTCATCTATTAATGCTTAGTTGAAAATTATTTGTGACTGGAATTAAAAAGAATCTAGAGTAGTGTTCATTTTATTCAACCACAAGAATAGATAAAAAAAAGTCTATTTATATACACTTTTACAATTTTACTAATTACTTTAATTACCCTCTCACATTTATGTACATAAATACAAAGAAGAAAGGTACAACATTAGTTGAACACAATTCAGACTGTATATGGTATCTTTGATATTAGCATAAACTATTTAGGACTCAACTTTCTTCTTTGACTCCTTAAAAGCTACAAGAAATAATTATATTTTTAATTCTTCATAATACTGAAATAGTCAAACAACTAACAATGATATCTAAAAAAGAAAGGAATGATCAAACAGTGACCATTCAATGTTGAAAGAAAAATTGAGCTATGGCATCAAATTGATATTTTGAAAAAAAAAGTTTTAGAAATAATAATAATAATTATTATTAAAATTCAGAAATGAGGTGCATATCAAACTGCTTTATATCAAGTAATCAATACCAGAGATTGTATTTTATAATTTAAGATTCTCTAGTTCAATGCTTTATAAAGAGAGCATTTAAAGAAAAGAAAGTACTAAAATGTCAACACAATTTAATGAAATGTTTAAGAAAATAAAAATTTTAATGAAAGGAAAACTGACCATCATCATCATCATCATCACGGTTGAGGGGATTAAAATCAACAGCAACAGCAGAGTGCGTGATATCACTGTTAGTTCGGTCATGAAGTGGCAGTACTTCATGATGTAGTAGAACCGTAGAGGCATCAGATGATAGAGAACGTTTGTGCTGACGTACTCTGCTGCGATCATCTCCTAAGGGCAAACAATAACAAGACACAAAAATGTTTTTATTTGCTTTAGTTAAGTTTAGGTTGATAGCATCATACAGTGTGCCTTATTATATATTATGTAATCATTTGTATCCTTTCAAAATCTACTAAAATCAAAGATAAAGTCAAAGCTTCCAAATTAATGCAGTAAGCAACAATTCTGTCAATTACAGTAAATAATATCAATAAATAAAAACATTGTCTTAATTCTTATACATATTTCTTATAGGAAAAACATTTTTTATTTTATGGCTTTATTGCAAAAAAAAATAAGATAACTGATTATTTGAATATATTCATCTCAAAATTGCAAATAAGCATTAAAATGTGAAGGCCTTTTAGGATATTGGCAAATTTGTCTTAGAATTATTAAAGTGGAGTCAGTAAATATTAAAATATATGTGTTATCAACATTGTTGTTTTCTGTAGTGAGAGTGATTTATACAGATGAAGCTTAAGATAAAGCAGTAAGGAAAGTGAAGTACCAGAATAGAGATTAACAACTAAGTCAGACTCAATTAATCCTCTGGAATTACGAGCACTACTACTGGCACTGCTTATACTGTTCTTGTGACTGGACAAAGATAACAAAGACTCGGCACTTTTAGCACTGCGTAAACGGCGCTTCTTCCAATTATGTACGTCTTCTTCTGTAATAGCTTTGCGTTCCATTGTGCTAACACTACCAGCACCATCAGCTAAAGAAAAAAAAAGAGAAAGAAAGAAACAAAAACATTTAGTAAATGTCTACAAAATGAATTAAGTGATAAGATAAATATTAAAGCTACATTTTAAGTCATTTTCAAAAACTGACAACTTGAAAATTTACTGTTTTTACAAAAAATATTTGAAAAATTTGTTTTACTCTGGATATTTTTAGAGAAAATATATGTAAAAAAGCAGTTAATGATAATCAATTTTTACTTTTTAGTTTAAATAACAACTATATATTGAATTAAAATCTTTGAACCACCAACATGCACCTTGGCCTTTAAAATGTGTGAGGAGGGGGAGGAAGCAAATATAATAAGCACTTGTTAGTCCCATACTGTTGACTGTATCCCTTCTCATTTCCCTACAAAGTGTGCACTGGATAGAGTGACATGTAGCTTTCTCTAATAAATCTTCATTCTGCAATGGAAAAATAGTGGTACCAATTATTTAGTATGAAACTGGATGTGCAAACAAGTGAGAGCTAAAACAAGATTTGCTGTTTCACTTTACAGCAATTCTGAAACTACAGTGATGGCTGACAACCACTGACAATTTGAATGTGGGTAACTTTAAGAATTACTCCCAGGCACCTAGAGTTATCACCATCTTCACATCCAGCATAATTGTAAAAACCTAGACCATCTCTTCCTCATTTGATTATGACTAGTTAGGAGTTTAGAATCTTACCAAAGAGGATTTTTGCAAAAGAAAAAAAAGTAGCAAATTTGGTCTATGTAAATGATGCTAAGTTATGGTGATTTTTCTGAATCTATACATAATAATGAAGTTGACTCTGGAATTTACTTCTGCTTAAATTGAAAACATTTCAAAGATCTTAATTGAACAAGTGAAGCACTCAGACTCCTTTTCTAAAGTTGTATACAAAGCATTTTTAAAGTTATTTTATTCCATTTATTTTTCTCTCATTTCAGATTTTTCTAGAGCCCAAATAATTCCAGAGAGAGAGAGGAAATTAAATAATGAAAACAATGGGGTTTGTTTTACATTCCTGATTCATTTTTTATTTGTATATATCATAAAATATTGCATATACCCTTAGGTCTCAATAGAATAAATTATGGTGAAAGACAAGTACAACATTAATGGATGCATTCTTTTGCTGTAAGGAAATAATATGTTTTGGTCATAAGAGATTAGCAAATTTTACAATAGTTGATACAAACCCCACTCTTAAATTATAACAGTTTCAAGCACGTTTCTGGTTAGTTATTAAATTCAACTAAAAACCTCATGGTTTTAAAATGCAAGATTTTGTAAGTCTCATCAAACCAAAATTATTCTATAAAAACTACAATTAATACATTATTTTTATTTGGCTAACATATTAATGCATGTTTTCTTATGCATCTTGCAAAGGAAGAGAACTTACTGTCATAGATCAGCCCTTGCAGGCTGGATTTCCGTGCCTTCTGCTTGACACTACTAGAACGAGATTTACTGAAGAAGGACTTCCAACCACTTACTGGAGACTTTTTGGGCTTAACCAAAGTGGTCATGCTGCCAGGTTCCCGAGTTTTCTTCCTGCAAAGAAGCGAAATGTGGATGAATAACAAAAGTAAATAAAATAATTTCACAATAAATCAAAAGCTATAAAGTGTTTTATATATATATATATATATATATATATATATATATATATATTAAAGTTGTAGCCTCTGTCTGTCTGTTATCAAACTCCTCCTAGGGTTTTGGAGATAGACCCTCATAGCCATATACATTACCCAGGGTACTTGGATAAGTATATTTCATTTTGATCAAAGGGGGTCAAGTGTCATATCAATGTTATAATCTGCTCATCAATTCACTCAATCCCGTATTACATCAAACAGATATCAAAGGGGTCAGATCAAGCTGTTTTTGCACCCCACTGAAAAATTTCTTTCCCTTTGATTTAAATTAAATTTAAATTTGAATAAGGGAATAGCTTCTATCCAAAATAAAGAATGAGAAAGCCAGAAGTCACATCAGCAAAATCATTGAATAATATTGAAATGCATCATTTTTCTCCACAAATTATAACAATGAGTTAAAATCAATCATCATTTTCTTAAAAAAAAAATGTGTGACATGCAGCAAGGTGCAGGTAAAACAGATAGTATAAAATAAAATCATAACATCCTGAATAAGTGTTTCAATTTACTTAAAATTAAATGTACAATTAATATAGGTGGATTACAGTAAGTGAGCACACAGAGAGATCAATATGTGCAAAGTTCTAAAATAAGGAGTGTATTAACACACTGTATATTTTCCTTGGCCATTAACACAAGGGCTATACTTTCCACATGAGTGTAGGATTAATTTTGTTACAAGTCAACTGAGAAGTTTTCACTCATTCATTGCATTCAGCAGATATTCTATCTATATTTATTCCAATCTTTGAAAAGTTCTCTAAATGAGAGAAGAAAAAAAAATTTCCTGGAAGACTACAAAAAGAATTTAGAGAATTTCTTCACTGAGAAAAATAAAGAATTCTGAGAGGATGGGATATGAAATTGCCTGCAAGGGAGAAGAAGACAGTGGAACAAAATAGTAAATGCTATTCATTCAATGAAGTTAATATCAAAAATAAAAATAAATCAGAAGTCTCCTTTTGTCTACATAAGCCTTCTTTCCTTTTTACAAATACAAAACTTTCAGTTGTGTCAATTGACTATATAAGAATAATGAGAGATAAAATATATTTTTAGCTATATCCTCATAATTTTCAAAGTGGATGGTATACTGAAAAAGTGATACTAGCTATTTACAATTAGTTAATACAATGAAATGAGTAGTTACCTACTCCTGTGGAATGAATAGAGCCCCAAGGAGGCTTGAATCTGCTTGACAAAACATTTCGAAAGACCAATTTTATGGAATAGAACTGTGAGCAAAACATGAGAGAAGACTGGATTGTGTTTATTGGAATTCAATGCAGAAAAAGAACCAATTCAGAAAGTTAATTAGTTTTGAAAAGTTAGATAACTTGAGAAGGTTCTTAAGAAATCAAACCAGAATAAAATCAAAATCCTTGAGATTAAGATTTTTACCTAAAGACTTATCCACTCTATTTGTGTCTTAGATAGAATAATTTGAGAAAAATAACTTCCCTGAGAAAAAAAAAAAAAAATAACTCCCGAGAAAAGTTGACCCACAGGCAATATTGTTTGTTTAGTTAGATTTGCCAGTGGTTCCATAGAAATACATTTTCCAGGACAAAAGTTTACTTTTAGTGAGCCTAAATTAATTGTCAAATTGTATCAATACATTATTGGTACAACTGGCAGATTGACTCCCATATAAAAGTGTGTGTCAAACTTTAGGGTTGAGCAGACACACAGGAGGAGCCGATTATAGTAACAGCTGTGAAAGAACAGACTAACAGATTACCATCCCATCCTTTATAGAAGGGAAAAATTTCACCTTTAACATCAACAATGTAAAATTACAAAAAATAAAAGATTTACTTGTAGCCTGGTAAGTCCAAAACAGTGTGATATTTTGGAGGCAGTTTTTCTGGACCTCCACCAACATCTATATACTTCTGAGCTGGTACATTATGTGATGATAATGCTCGCTCCCTAGCTTCCTCCAATGTCAACAACCGTGTGGGTGTAGAAATTGCTAAAGATTTTGGACGTGGCTTCTTTTGTGACTCTGAGGGAAAAAAACCCAAAAGAAATCAAATATTAATTAATCAAAATCAATCATACCAGAAATCAATGGAAAATTCTAATGAAAAATACAAATTCATTTCTATAGCAAAATTTAGAAATTGTTTTTGTGAATGTATGTTTTAGAAAGCATTTTTATGAGTTTTTATATTTTAGAAAAACAAATAACTAAAGAATTATGATTTTTAATAATAAAAAAGACTTTCTTGGAGAAATAATAATAAATTGCATTTTTTTTCAGTCAATAATCTACAATCAAGTAATCAAGTTGAAGTAATCCTTTAGCTTGAGTTTAATTAAGGTTAAAAAACTTTCATAATAAATTATCAATGATTAATTACAAAAACAAAAGCCACAACTTACGTCTTAGTTCTGGAGAAGAATATGAAGGCATCTTGTCACTAAAAATGAGGTCTGCATAACAAATGAGGAACTCTGTTACAACTGCTTGAATGCTTACCCCTTGAAGAGCAGCAACACCACCTCCAAGCTCCAATTCTTTAGACCTACAAAATTAAAAAAATAATTAACAATTTGTAATGAAGAAAAAAAACTGTCATGTACTCAAGATCCTGTATTAATACACTGTATATTATCTTTGGCCATTAACACATGACCTATACTTTCCACATAGGATTGAATTTATTACAGCTAATATGTTAAATCATTTTGAAAAATATGTAAATTTGTTCATGATAGTGAAATATCTTCCTAATCACGAGGTAACCCCCAGTCACTCAGTTTCTTTTGTGGTTAGATGGGATAGAGTTTTATAAAAGCAAATAGCTTTGGGCTTTGAGTATGTCAATCATTGTCATCTGTCTTTTTGAATCTGTTCTTTTATTGTCCTTTCTTCTCAATAACATTTTCTCAGTTTCATTCACATTCAGTAATCCCTTGTGTCTTAGTGGCTTTATCGCCTTGAAATAAAAAAAATAAAAATAAATAGACATATTTCTGAATCATTAAAATGATGTTGGACCTCCAAAGAGAAAAATCATCTCATTTGAAATAAATAAAAGCAAGATTAAAGATTAGCAGAGAAAGTCTTCTGTGACTGGGCTCAAATTGTGATGAAATATATATGTAAGATAATTTCACATAAATATAGTTACCTCCAAAGATTCACTAAAAAATGAGCATACATGATCAAAAAATCCTTTTGAAAAACCTTTTTAGAATTTTTGGTTAAAAACTTTGTTTTTTTTACATCTGTGGGTGACCATAAATTATTATGGGAAATTTTAGCATCTTTTTCTGGTGATTTAGAAAAAAAATTGTCAGATTTTAATGAAATTTTCAGAACCTTTTCACAAATTAATAAAATTATTAACACCTGTTAATACCTACTTATTTAATTTTATGAAATTCTGAGAAATTCTTTTTTATAGCACTTAATGTTAATGATAATATTAGAAGAGAATAATATTGGAGAATTTAAATCATGGAATCTTTTTGGTCAAACAGGACCCCAGTTACAGAAAATCTACTCTGTATTGTAAAATAAAAAATGTAATAAAACTGAGACATGATTTAATCAGAAAAACTTTTTATTGCTTTTATGTATAAAATATATTATGGACACTATTGTTATGACAATAGTGTCCATAATATATTTTATATATAGTAAAAAATATTTTATATTTAGTAAAAAAAAAAATTTCAATGAATAAGGAATTTTTACAAGAATTGCTTTCATTTTTTAAGAAATCTTAATTACAATAATTTATAAAATTTTAAATCCATTAAAATTCTGTTTTAATTTGTAGTGATCAAGTGATATTATTATTAAATTAAAAGTATATTTACTCATCAGAAATGGAAAAGAATTCTGAATTTATTTTGTGTGTATAAACATGTTGATTTTTGTAAATATGGATGTCCAATCACAACATTATCACAAAATAAGAATGGTAACTATATTAAAGTTAAAATTTAATGATAATTTTCTAACATTTCCTCAAAAAGCACCTTTGTAAGTTAGATTTGTTAGGTACCTAAAATTCAATAAAATATTATAATATTTTCTTACATTTTTAAAATTACTGGTTAGTTGTTTTGAACTGAAGGAACAATAGACTATGAGGGATTAAATCACACTTTCATCAGATAATTGTTTGATTTCACAACATATACTCAAAATGTTCATCTACTTGGTAGTTCTGAGATACTCAATTAGAACATCACATTGACCAACTGGTGGACACACTGTTCCATCTAAAATGAAGTCAAAATAATACACATGGAACACTTTGATGCAACATCCCTAATGGGAAAGAAGCTGCACATTAGTTTGTTAAAAATACATACAAAAGCAAAACAACTGTAAATTTTAACACAATGCTCAGAAAAATTATTTTAGCTGAGTAGGCCTTCCATGTCAATATATAAAATCATTTGAAGAATTTAGGCTTTGGAATGATTAAACACGTTAATCAGAATAAATGTAATTAACAAAAAGGCAGAATCTTTGATAAGAATAGATGAAATTCTTCCTCTTTTGTCTTTTTGATAAGAGCTTAATGTCCAGTTTTATGATCTATGTTCAATTATGATGTTTTCATCAAGGAGAGGGTAAAGGAAAAGCAAATATTGTGAGATCTCCAGAAGAAATATTTGAAGAAAACTAAAAGATATATCAGCTGAAATGTGTTAAAAACAATAGTTGAACAAGTATGGAATAAAGAATGATAAAGATAATGAAGCTTGGCAAATAGCAACCACAAAAGGAAACAATACTAAGCATCACAATTAGAAAAAAAATATCAAAACTATCGCAGACCTCAGGAGGTTTGGTGCCCACACAATGGCAAGATTTTTGGAATGCATTCCAGTGTCACGTCCATGTCCAGCAACACGCGCAAGATGTCGAATGAGGTATTCAGTTGTTCTATAAAAGTCAGAGACAAAACTGAGAAACTGACAAAAATATTTAAATGTCAGATAATTTTTTAAAAATAAAACATAAAACTCATTACTGGATTGATTAATATTACTTTTAAATGGCTAACCATTTTCCTTGCATTTTTTTCTGCTTGCTTTTGACAAATTTATAAAGGAAAGTTTTTAATAAATATTGTAAAAAATTCAGAGATAAATCATTGTTATTATTCCAGATAATTATTTAAAGTAGTTATTTCATTCTTGAAGAAATATAATAAAAGATCAATAAAAATAGTCTAAAAAATATAAGGTTATTTATTTTAACCCTATAAAGTACATTGTGAAGTTCTTATAAATTTACATTGATTACATCATTGTACTAATAACCAATGGACAACTATATATAAATTAACTGAGAATGGGTGAGAGAAGATGAGTTCATACCTGTAATGCGGAGGAGGAAGCTGCTGTACAACATCATGAATAAGGTGAAGTTTATCTTCATCTTGGACAGCTTTCTGTAGGAAAATTGAATTAGAATTACATGAAAGACAAGATAAAAGTAAAAAGGAAAGAGAAATAGAAAAGGAAAGAAAAGTAAATAGAAGAGATAGTATGAAAAAAATTAGGAAAATCTGGAGGAAAAGACAAAAGTGTGAAAAGGATAATAAAAGAATGACCATGAGGTAAATTATTAAAATAGTAAAGAAAATGATAAAAGAAAAATATAACAGAAAAAGGTATAAAAAAAAAAACCCAAACTAATGAAGGACAAATTTTAAAAAAAGAATTTAAAAAAATAGAACAAAATTTAACTGCAACTTACAGCAAACTTGTCGTAAAGTTGGTATGTAAGAAGAGGATTTGGCAATTCACGAAAGTACATTTTGAGAAGAGAGCTAATACTGTGGATGTCTTGCAAATAAGTTTCATCAGCCAGATTTGGCACGCGGTCTTCATCAAAAGCATGTCTAAAAAAATACAAGTAACATTGCCATAAAGGAAACAATGGCTTTGTTAGTTTTGTTTCAAGAAAAACAGTATCCCTCATGTATAAATATACACTTTTAAAAATAGAGCTCAATCATATATCTCATCATATATAAACATTGTAACCATTCTTATAGTCTAAACCATAAACAAGTCTATAAAAACTGACAGAATGGGAATTTGATTCTTCTCTGGATGTAATTCTAAAGAGTTTTATAAGTTGGATAAAATTTGTTGGATTATATGAAATTAATTCCATGTACTTCGTTTGATATATCATTGTTATCTAAAAAAAAGCAAAAAAATTCTTACAATCTGAAAATATTTTTTGTCTTTAAATAACCTACAAAATAGAAACCAGTATAGAAATCAATCAATGAACATGTAATTCTCGGATACACCAGGTGGTTCAGATCTTTGGTGACTGTGATGAAAGACTGAACTTTTCTTCTCAGTTCTCTCCTACTCTATTGCACATGTGGACAGCAGGAAGCCCTTGTCTGTTATGTTGCTGCTGCCTGTAAGAGCTGGTTTATATGGAGAATTAAATATCACGGTTTTCTTGAAATGCAAAATTTTTACTGTTACAAATCTGAATCATCAGACTTGTAACTTGTAATTATTATTTTATGGTTGTCAACAACTATAAAATTCTTGGGAAGAGCAAGAGACAGGATGAAAACCTAATAACAATCTATTTTGGGTGAGTGGTAGTGACCCAATTCTTTAATCTTAATTATTTTCCAACTAAATTGTTTCAATACATACTGATTTCATATATGTTGAATATATTATTTATTTTAGCATGTTAAGATAATTATATTTTTCTATTTTCCCAGTTGGCTTTGCTTTCACACATTCCATCCTGATAATGCTTGACCCTCATGAATGCTCAAGTTATTTTCCCAACTGACTTGACTTTGACATATTTCATATTAATAAAGGCTTCACTCTCATGGTTACCCAAGATTGATTGATTTCTAATTTTTTAGGTTATTTAAAGCCAGAAAATATTTTTAGATTGTAAGAAGTTTTTGTTTTTTTAGATAACAATGATATAGTGATAGACGTCTTCTTAATTAACTCATAGCTGAGGTGAATTCATACTTTTCCCAATGGTATTTGTGTGTAAGAGAATATAACAAATCTAACTGGAATTGAAACTTGGCTCCCTGATTAACAATTCCAAGCCATTATCCATTACACCATCTTGCACATCCAAGCTTACAACACTTGATATTCCCAAGCAGTCACCAATCTAGATACTGATAAGGCTTGACATCGCTTAACTTTGGCAATTGTATGGGAATCAATGTTTCAAAGTGATGTGGCCATAAGCTGAGAGTGACAGTCAAAGCTGATAATACAAGTGGAAACCAGCAACCAGTAGCAGACAGCTTTTTGGAATTGAAATGTTACAAAATGTCTGAAGCAATATTAAGGTGTTCTGGTTGCAAGAAGTTCCTTTAAATGAAGGACACACATCCAGATTGTATCAAAAGATTAATGTTTTATGTTTGATGTTCTTTTTATTCTTTTTTCTTCAACTCTTCTATTTGCCAAGAAGTAAATTTCCTGGCATTTAGGCATTATTCTTAATGAGTGAATTCTGTTTTGATTTCCAGTGAAGTAGCAACAGAAAAATCACAGCTTAACAAAAATCCTGAGTCTTGTTAGGTATACAAAGAACAATTTATATGGGGGGTAGTGACAAGGGGATGACCAAGAATATCAAAGACAGAGAATTAATACCCACTGTCATGCATCTGTTTATGTACAGTGTAATGATGTTAGAATTGAGATCCTGTGGAAGCACTCCCAAATACAACTATTTATATCTGGTTCCATGACAACGGAAGCTCACACCTGTTTCTGACCAACACCAGCCAGATACCTGTTTAATGACTGAGTGTAATACCCCACTTACCCATTTATAGTTGGACAGAAAAAAGATTTTAGCTATATAACACTATTTTTGACATTCACCACCACTGGCTATCTAGTGATGAACAAGAGACTTCATTTTGTTGGTTAAAAGAATTGCAGGGCCTACTGACATCACTTTCACTGCTGCTGAAGTGCATTGACCATCCCCTCACTGATCTCACAGCTACTGTTTCTGTAAACATTTGAGCACGTGTATATCAATGTCAACCTGTGCATTTTTTTCACATCGAGTAATTAAGCAATACACCTCTACTTCATACACACAATTCATGTCAAACTCCATTTTGCCCAACTGCTTCTCAGCTACAATCTGTAACAATGCAAAAAAGAAAAAGAAAAAAGAAAGTTATTAGCAGGAAGGTTCAACTTCTACTGTTATTCTACCAATATCTGCCTCTGACATCATGGGACAAAATAATAAAATAGGAGTCATAACTTTTAATGTGACCCACCATAGGAATAATCACCAAAGATTCCCTAGTATAAAGGATAAGCTAGTAGTAATCTTACTGAGTTATTTGTTTTCTTTTCATTTTTACACTCCCCTGCAATCAGCTTCTTTCCTCACTTTATTCTTTTCTCTTGTGGAGATATTTATATGAAAAAATTAACATGCCAATAAATAGATGCAGGTTTCAATGCTGTCAGGAGATAAGCCTAATTAGCTTTGTAATGACTGAAGTAACTTTAAAGCAGATCCTTTGGAATACTTCAAAGTCACTGCAGAGATGAAAAGTTAGTAGCAGTCATATTTTTAATGTGAAGAATCATGTTTTTGGGCTTATCATTTGATCTTAAAAAAAAAAGGATATGGTATTAAGATAATGGGGTTTTCTCATTGATATTATTTTTTAATATGTTATGTTCTGTGTTAAATATGTAGTAGATCTTATAAAACTAGCTAATAATTTCTAAATCAATTTCAATCAGATCAACTTAAAATAACCATTACTATGTACATTATATATTGAACATACCTGAGTTTTTGAATGTTTGAATTGATACCAGACAATCTGTAGATACCATCAACAATACCATGTTTCTCAATCACTTCAGCGCAACACTTCAGAACCAACGGAACTAAAACAAATAAAAAAAAATCAGTTTTCTGACACTATCAGAAAAAAAGCTTTGTCTTTCAAAAGTTGTAGAGATATAATAAAAATGTAAACTTTTTTAAGAGTATGACGTATAACAAAATTAAAATTTCATATCTATATTAAGAGTTTACAAATAATTTAAAAAAATTTTAGCCTCATATTCATAGTAAAATGCTGATTCACCATTTTTAAATTGTGCAGACAGATGAAAAATAAAGATATTCACTGTTCCAAATTAGGCATGGTCTTTCTTGATGTAAATTTATTTCCTTGCAATTGTGCATCTTTACAGGAACAGAAGAATGATGATCATAATGAAAATAAAATATGCTTATATAAATGCAAGCAGATGAAAATGATCATAATGAAAATAATTAGGCTCAGAGTAAAGGGCATAGAGACCAACCCGCTGACGGAACTGAAAGTAACCGGAGAGAGGCTGAAGAAAGGCGATGTCGTCTGGATTCTTAGCGGCGTCAAGCCACCTTTGGGGCACCCTCGTTAAACAATCTGCCTTGTTGAGGCTAGATTTGACCAGGGACACCTCCATTGTCAGTCGTACTCTTGCACTAGCTTCACGATCGTGTCGAGCCATCGTCGGATAAGCATCTAAGCTGGTGGCTTTAGTCCGCACCCTGGCCTCCCGGTAAGGGTATCCGAGATCCACTTATAAACGCAAGCGGAATCAGTGAACAGGCCTAGGGTGGTGGAAGCTTCCAGAGGATCGCCAAGTTGATCCCCTTGATGACAGCATCGAGCTCCGCTAGGTTTATGTGCTGGGAGTCCTTTTCTGGGACGTAACCAGCAAGCATCTTCCACCATGGCTCCATTGTGAACTATCGATACGCCAGTTGCAAGAGAGCTTGCGTCAACCCACACACCGAGGTCTTGGCTGTCAATGTACCATCTGCCCCACGCTGGGTCTTCCTTGCGTACTCTAGCGAGGACCTCCCTCATCAAGGTGTTGAGAGGGGCGTCGTGAACTTTGTCATCCCATCCAGTGGTGACGTCAGATGCTCTCCGCTTGATAAAAGCCATCCCAACACGCAGCCAGCCACCTACAGGAAGGTCCCCAACTAACTTGCCGCACAAGGAAAATATGCTTCGCCACGTGACAACAGGGGCATGTCTGGGACTTCGTTTCCCGTTTCCAATACAGAAACGTCATCCTCTCCCCAGACCTGCAAACCAAGCACCGTGCACCATCCTGTAGCCTCTCCGGTTCCTTGCTGAGGAGGCCAAAAAGTTGTAGAGATGCTCCTTCACACGCGCCGCCAATATGACTCCCTCGTTCATACCGTCATCAATATATGCAGGCGTTGCCCGCTGTATCGCTCATCCTTCATCAGAATGGCGTCAACAATCATCTGCATAATCGACATGGCGCTCCCCACATTGAGTCCAAACCCCATGTGGGTCAGGCAATACCTTTTCCCCTTGATAAGCACAGTTTGATAGGGCCACAGTGATTGGTACACGCACTTGAAGATATGCCTTGTGAAGATCCAGCACAGATACATTAGATCCCGCCAATCGCCATTCCCTTAGCTACCGGTACACACATGTTGGCGGGCTGTAAAAAGAGTCCACGTGCTCGTTCAGTTCCCGATAGTCGAGCACTGGCCTCACCTTTTTTGTTTGTTGTGCTAGATAACCGCCATTAGCGGGATCAGGCCCTTTGGGGGCCCAATTCCTTCTCTGGATAAGGAACCAACCATCCGTTATTAATCAGGCTCACAACTCCTTGTCGATTCGCACGAGCTCGAGGGGATTTTATACTCCGGCACACTGTTGTACAGCTTCTCTGGCAGTTAATCGTCCGACCATTTCAGGATACTGTCCAGGACTTTGTGCGCTGGTCGAGCTCCGCGCATGAAAGTCAGGCCGTTCAGCTCCATTGCTGCACCTAGAGCAAGACCAGTTTCAGTGAAACGCGCCGACCCTCTTCATCAACATGGACGCCACCCAATTTTTGATGACATCCATTCCCAGGAGCAGATCATAGCCGAGCAGCCCTCCATCCACAACCAGGGCTTGTGGCGGCTACCGCAGGCCCATCAGCTGGATGCTTGCGCTGGACACGCTCATTCCAAGAGGCTAGTGAGCCCCTGCCAACAGTCAGAACTGGGGCTTTTTCTGTCCCATGTGTCACAACATGCCGCCGACAAGGGTCTGGGTGCCGGTGTCTACAAAGCCGCCAAAGCGCCACGCCGTTAACTGCACGCTCACTGCCCGGACAGCTTCTTGCTACGCGGCCCAGCTTTGTCGCACCTGTAGCAATGCAATACGCCTCCGTGTTCCTCGGTTGTGCGCCCCCGCCGCACTGTTTCGCTTCGCAGTCTTTTGGAGACATTTATAGCACCTTATGTCCTCAGTTGGCGATGCGGGTGCTTCCACATGCTGAGACCGTCTCCGCGTCATCCTTCAGAATATTCCAGGCTCCTGGCCAATGCTTTCGTCTAACCCCAGCTCATTGAGCCTTGACGATGCTTGTAGCAGTTGATTGGTGTTGTCTGGGGAGTCCTGCCAGAAAAGGCGCATCCTAGGATTTGGTCGCTTGCTCCACCAGCAGTGCGGCCAGCTCCTAAATCGCCAGAAAAGACATCTACCGTTTCATCTGGCCCAAGCCACCGTTCGGTAAACTGCTTCCAGGCGACAAAGGGTCTGCAATCAACGCCGCGTATAGAGCCTGCTTAATTTCCTCCAAGTCTGCGTCATCCCTGAGCTGCTGATACACAGCGTAAGCTCCTTTGGTGAGCCTCAGAGGGATGACCAGTGCGGGATCTTTAATTTTACACAGCCAGCAGACCAGCTCGGCCTTTTCCCACCACTCGACCACAGACTGGCCAGCGGGGGAGCCGTTAAACTCTGGTATCAACTTCAAGTCGAATCTGTCCATGTTGTAATAATTGGCGAAATAATAAACATAGCAAAGGAGTCGAATTCAACAGTGTAAGGATTTAACTCTTTCCGTCGAAAATGTCTGACACGATGCACATAAAGCAATGTACACGAACACGGGTGTAATGCCCTTCTGCCAATTTCTCCAAGCGACCTGCTTTTATGGAGCCCAGACACACCTCATTAGCATGCGTGTAACGTGACTTTGCGTGTAACGCGACTTTGCGTGACTGCACGAGACCATGAATATTAAAAAGTCACGGACGCCATCTTGGACCCTTTCTTTCTTTTCTCAACCCACAGGCCAGACAGACATGAGGGCGTTTGGGAGGTAAGTCATTTCTATTTTCCCCACAACTACACATAAAATGCAGAATATAATATAAACAAAAGTAAAGATAAAAAATATTTGGTTACTCTTAAAAATTTATCTTTTTTTAAGAATTGCTATTTAAGAAAAAAATGCAGGTATACATTTTTTTGTGCACTAGTATAGAAACACAGCCATACTTCACTAATTCTATTACATTCATCATTCACTACTTCACCTTCTTCCAGAAAGGCTGTCATAGTTTACATTAAAGCACTATTAAACAAACAAAAAAAAAATGAAAGGGAAATTCAACATAATGAAGGTTTGAACTCTAGAACCTTTGCCTAAATGTTAAATATCTCAGTCTGTAAGCACTACATTGCTTATTATGAAATAGAAAAAGTCTGACATGACCAAATGTGTTCTTTAAAGTGGTACTCCATGGAAAATTTCTCCTTGAGCAATTTGAAAAATGTTAAGAGTCAACTCAATACTAAAAGAATTATTAAGTTTACTTCAGAAAAGAATATAAACTGCCAGATTTTCAACTTATACATTGGTGTAAATTCATATTCATTTAAGGCCTGAAAAAGTGGTAACTAGTAAGGGACAGGTCCAAGAGGATGGGGAGGGACCTTGATGCTTAACTGAATCAATTTTTACCAAGTAGTTTGTGAAATATGAAATCTTGTGTTATACTGCAACAATATAAGCCTATTTTTTTATTCACCACTGCTGACCAAAACAGTTGCAACATTGGAGGCATCAGTTGCAAATCATTAAGATTCTGTTGTGATAGTCTAACCAAATTGCAAGAAGCTATAATAAAATAATCTATTTCAGTTAATACCAGATGATCTGGAGAACCAAAATTTTGAAATAATGATTTGGCTTTGGGAAGATTGAAAGGAGAGCAAGATTATTAAACTGGAAAGACATGTTTTAAATTATCATACAGAATACACAACATACACATAATGAAGAAAATGTTTACTTTTTAAATGAAAAAGCAAATTGCAGCAAGTGTAAGTTGCTGATCATCATTCAAATCTTAGGAGTACCCACTTCTGTATTTTCTTAAATTTGTGCTTTCTAATGTTTTCCGACCACTGTATGGGCTACTGTTAAATAATAGTTTCAGACTATTATTTTTTAGTGGTAATGTATTTTGGCTCAGACCTTCTGAGGCTGACCTTTGAGGTCAGATGGTAGACAAAACAGGGATGTCAATTTTGATTGGATGAGATTAACTTGGGAATGAGTTATAGATTAAGGTTTTTTGAGGGTTGCTCTTTGGATGTCGAGCTAACTAGATACATTAGATTGCAGTTGTGCAAACCCATTTCTCTTAAGAGGAAAGGATTTTTTGAGAGTTGGTTATTACACATCAAAGGAAATGGACGTGTGAGATTTTGTGTTTGAAAGTGGTTTCCTAATAGGGGGTGTAGTAACCCCCACTTGATAAAAGATGTACCTGTCAACATGGTTAATAAAATAATAGTTAAGTTAAAAGTTCTCTTTGTTGGTGCTTTTTGTCTCTGAACCTAAAGAACACAACAACCAAGAGAAAAAGAGGATTGAATTAAAATGAACAGTGATCACCAGCTAGATGAGATGAAACCAACCAACACCCCAACCACCAATGAAGGGCATACAAAACTACTCCAAGTTTTGTTCTCAACACCTGTCTTTCTAGATGAACCTATTGTGTCTCAATTCTTTGTTGTTGATTGTTTACTTGCAACAATGAGCAAATATAGTATTAAAAAAATTCAAAGAAACTCAAGAGAGGAAATGCAAAACTTTAAATGATATATAGATAATGAGCAGAAAGGAACAATGTGAAAAAAATTGATTGCACTAATGCAATGTAAAAACAGTTATTATTTTATTCCAAATTAATAAATTTGGTAAATAATTGAATCAATATTTATTCAATAGTAAATAATTATTAGAGCATGTATGGGTGTTCAGTTAAGCAGCAGCTACCATCTCTTAATTTTCATTCTTAATATATATTACACTAGAAAAAGCTCTACTAATGAAAACCTTTACTCAAGAAAGAGCATGGAAATTCTAGAGAAAATAAAGGAATAAAAAGTTGAAATCTCACCATCATGGCCTGAGTTGAGTAGGTGTTCGCCAAGATCACAACCAAACACTCGCTCTTTCACAATGCCAGAACGTTTCAGCTGGTTGCGGGCTGGCCGAGTGAAGAAGAAACGTTGAAGGAAGCTGATAAGTTTGCTGTGTTTGCGAAGAACTGTAAAAAATTAAATACAAAATTAATAATAACATGTAAACAAACAGATTCTAAAGAAAACAAAAAAAAATAATGTAAAAAAAATCATATTATATATATATATATATATATATATATATACATACATACATACACACACACACACACACGTGTGTGTGTGTACACACAAATATATGAAATTGAAAGTTATTGTGAAAAGAAAAAATATCAATTAATTTTGTTATCCTTTTGAAATCTTTGTAAGATTTCCAGATAGACAAACCTTTGGAGAACAAACTGGGAATTGCTGGGATTCAAGTACATAGATTCCTATTCATTAACAACTCTGCTGGACTAAAACCATGTTTCAAGAGAGTAGTTGTGTAATTCAGAAGTGCTATGTATGGATTAAAGTATGCTTTTTTTAACAATTTCTTCACCATTTAAACTGCCTGTTTAGCTTCTCTATTTCCTTGTGGATAATGTGGGATACTAGTGAAGTGTCTGAAGTCATAAACTTTTGAGAAATTTAAAAATTAATTTGAACTGATACTACTATCTGTGTTCAACCACTTTGACAGAGGTGGATGAGATTTCTATCCATCTCAACAATTATAAGATACTGATGTCCCTTCAGTTCAAATAAATCCATAGTGACTTTTTGCCATGGGTAGTCTGGTAACTTTGTAGGTTGGAGTGGTTCTGGTGGATACCTTCTATCCTTTTCATATATGGCACACCTTCTTTGATATTTGCTTTGATAAGCCTGGCTACCATACTGTATCTCTCGCTAGTGCTTGACACTTAACAATGCCTCGATGTCCTTCATATAAACAGTCTATTACTGCTTCCTGTAATTCTGCTGAAGTGACAAGTCTGGTCTGGTACAACAAAAATCCTTGTTGGACTGATAAGTCTTGGTGTACAAACTAATATAATTTCAGTTTGGGATCTTTTCTGATTAACATTGGCCAGTGGTCTACTTTATAAAATTTTATAACCTGATTACAGATACCATCTGATAACTGCTTTATTCTTTCAGAAATTGATTACTTCGTGAAATATTAGCAATTGCCGAATTAACAAACAAGTCTGTTTCAGATTTGTTCTGTATATTTTGACTAGTTTGACTACTAGAGCATGAGATAAAATGTCAGCTGTTACTAGTTCTTTTCCTGGTATGTAAATGATATTGTTTGAGAACCTCATTTGTCTCATTTGAAACCACTGGATCCTAGGGGTCAATTTATCCAGATGTGTTTCTTTTTTAAAAGTATCAGCAGTGGTTTGTGGTCTGTTTCTATAATAAACTTCAGAAACTCAACTAGCAAATCTGCAAACTTCTCACAGCACCAGGTAACAGCTAAAGCTTCTTTTTCAAGTTGTGCATATTTTTACTCAGTCATCATAAGAGATCTTGATGTATTAAACACTGGTCTCCATTCAGTCCTTCACTTCTGCAGAAGAACCCCACCTAAACTGTATGAAGATGAATCTACTGAGACCTTAATTGGATTATCGGTATTATAATGGTTTAGAATTGGTGCAGAGTTTGGAATGCAAATTCTTGAAATCTTCCCTTTTTCAAGAGTTTCTTCAGAATGAAAGGTTTAGTAACATCTTCCCAAGCAAATTTTCCAAGTAGTTTATTATTTAGTAGTCTTTGTAATTTTGGAGAGGTTTGGTTGAGGTCTTCTAAATTGCTTTGACTTTCTCTGGGTCAATTTGAATGCCATCTTTTTTAATGATGTGTCCAATAAACTTTATGCTACTGACAAAAAAATACATTTTCATTTATGACTCCTTGCCTTCATTTTTTTTTTTTTTAGTCTTTTAAGTGTTCCTATTGGTTTGTTCCACTCACAAGGACATTGTCAATATTACATATAACTCCAGGTATACCTACCACAATGTGAGTCATTTCACAGTGGAATATCTCCGTACCACTGCTAATAGCAAATGGTAAGAATGTAAAACAAAATCTTCCAAATGGTGTTAAAAATGTTGTCAGTTCTTATGAATCTTTGTGGAGTTTTATTTAATAAAAACCACTGTTGCAGTCTAATTTACTGAAAATTGTAGCTCTGTCCAGCTCTGCCAATAGTTGTTCTATAGTGGATAGAGGAAGATTTTCTCTTTTCATACTATTGTTAAGTTTGGTAAAGTCAATACACAGTTGAACCTTTCCATTTTTCCTTAACACAGTAAATATTGGGGTGCACCACTCTGTTGATGTTTTTAATATTTTCTTTTTCTAAAAGCTGTAACTCTTCCTGGACTTTTTTCTTCATAGGAAGTGGCATGCATTGAGGAGTTGCCATAGGCATTGGTTGCATAGACTCTTTTAAACATATTTTATATATATTCTGGAGTCTACCAATGCTTGTGAAACATTCTGAAAAGTCTTTTCTATGTTTGTGGTCTTTACTTTTTATAGAATTCACTCTCCTCAGTAGGCTTTTATTGTTGGTGCCGCCAATAATAGTTCCCTCAAATTTTCAATAACAAACAAGTCCTGTTTAGACTTTGCTTTTGGAGTTTCTAATAAAGCCTTCAATATGACCGATAACTTTTACCTGGTGTTAGCCTGGCCCATACAGTTGTTTGTTACATTTTTAATAAAGTTTAATTACAATTTCATTATTACTAATAGATCAAAGGACTATGATGTTAATTCTATCATTAGTGTGGCTTCTTCCTCATTTCTCAAATTTTAAACCTACCAGTCTTACACATTTTTGCATAATGTCCTTTTCTTGAACACTTTCGACAAATTGCATTTTTGGTTGGACAGTCATTTTGAGAGTGAGATGGAATATTACCACAGCATATGCATTTACTTGTACTGCTTTTATGGTGTACTTTATTCTGAGGCTTCTTTTTATTTTTCTTTGGTGTTACTCTGCTAATGTTTGTTTCTGTTGCATTTGTGGCTAAAAAAATATTTTGAGCTTGGAAATTTCATAGGCTCTGCCTATGTCTGTACATTTGTCTAGGGTAAGCCTTTTATCCTTTAAAAACCTTTTCCTGGCTGTATCATCTTTAACCCCTACAATATTTGCTCTTGAATTAGCCTGTCTTGCATTTCCCCAAATATGAGCCTTTTGCTAACTTTGAGCAATGACATATTCTATACTATCTCGCCAAAAATTTTGAATAATAATTCTTATGCTTTGAATTTCTTTATTATTACATCCAAATTTTCTTTCTCCTCTTCATTATCAAATTTAAACCCCTCATAAATGTCATATGCATCTTCTATTATTGACAAAAAACAAATGTTTGGTATTTACTATCAGCTTCTTTGTTGAGTTGGCTTTTGAATAATTTTGAAAATTTTCCAGTTAGTTGCCAAATTCCCTGATAAAACTATTTTTGCAGGAGGTTAGACATTTACTTTAAATTATCTTTGGTTATCATGTCCTTTTTCATAATTTTGTGCAATGGACAAGTTGTCAATTGGACTAAACATTTTTTAACAAAGAAAACAAATTTGTTTTTACTTTTTTGTACTTTATAAACTGTTTGTAGTTTAAATGCATAGAAATTTAAAAAAAAAAAAAAATAAATTACTTACAATTTCTTGTAATTTTTTTTAGTCCACTTGTATATTCCAATGTCTTTTTTTCTTTTTTTTCTTTTTTTGCATAGTAACATTTTTTTTTCTTTCAGACACTAAGTGTATTAAATTACAGGAGGGGGAAGGAAGAGAAGATGAAGTCTTTTACTGTTTGTTTGACATTCAAACCAGTTAATGCATAGAATTTAAATTGTTTCCCTCCTCATTGATGCTCCATTTTTATAGCAAAGGACAGATACCATTTCTTAGCAAGGGAGGTAACTGTGGATTACTCCACGAATTAGACCTCACGTGCTTTTGTCTGGATTCTAGTGATGGTAGTGGGATGATGGTGTGCCTGTATGTTTCTGTATCATATTTTTAGTTGGTCTTGCAGGATTTGGGTGATAATGTGTGTATTAGTGCACATGTGTGCATCTAGTGGGCATTTTTGTTTCTGTCTGGTAGTATGTCTATCTTGATTGGGGATGCTTGATGTTACATCAGTGGTATGGGTTTTATGAAAGTTGGTGATATATAAAAATGTGTTTATCAATGGGGAAAGTGTTTATTTGTATCCCTTCTAAATATTTTCTTCATAGTAAAGCATATTTCTTTCTTATTAGGATCAATTTTCTTTTAAATGAAAGTTATGACCTTTTCTCTTTGTGTTACAAAAGAGTTCAGTGGATTATCCAATCATAGGTTTCTCTTATCTTTGTAGATACAGGTTTTTCTCAAAGTTTTGCCTACATAGCTCTTCTGGCATTGTAAGCATTTAATATTATGTGTGTATGTGCACGTGTGTTGGTTGGTTGGTTGGTTTTGTTTAGTGGCATATCATGATCTATAGGTTATTTAATGCCAAAATCTAAATATTTTGAACACAATTTTATGATCTCAATGGAATATTTTGAGTGCGATTATATGCCTTCAACTACAGATAAAATGTATTGTTGGTCATTTTGCTATAAAAATTATTATTGGTTATTTTGCTATAAACTGTATTGTTGATCATTTTTACTATAAATAGGTATTGTTGGTAATTCTTACAATAAGTAGGTATTGTTGCTAACTTTTTTTTTTAATATAAAAATGTATTGCTGGTATTTTGACTATACAAACATTTTTATACTTTCATAGTGTTTTGATTGGGGGTCCACTATTTGCCCATAGCTGGGACCCTAACAGGTGGTACCACCTTTTGGTCAGGGTGGACCTGGGAACAGCAGTAATTAAAAGTTGATTCCATGCTCCCCAAAACCCCCAATATCCTGCCAGATATAGTTTATTGTCAGTGTGTATGTATGTATGTGTGTGTATCTATATACAAAGATATATAGACACCAGCAAAAAATAAAAATAAAAAATAACTTTCAAATGCATTTTTAAAAAATGGAAAATCTTTTTTAATGCCTTTATTTTATTTTTTAATTCCAAATTAGTAGATTAAATTTAATAG